CGGTCGGTCCGCACGTTCTCAAAATGATTGGTTACATAACCAATCTGGAGAAACTCGGGTTCTCCTTGCAGAAGGAGCTGGCAACGGACCTGATCCTGCAGTCGCTCCCTGAGCTGTATAAGGGTTTTGTCATGAACTACATGATGCATGATCTTGACAAACCCCTTCCGGAGCTTCTTAAAATGCTCCAGACTGCAGAAGAGAACCTTACTAAGGGCAAGGGTGCTTCCGTCCTTATGGTCCAAGGCGGAAAGGGGAAGCCGAAGAAGGGGATTAAGATTAAGGCTAGGATGGTCGGAAAGCCTAAATCGAAGTCCACTTCATCTGCAACCCAGAAACCCATAGGAGGAGTTGCAAAGGGCAAATGTCATCACTATGGTAAGGCAGGCCACTAGAGAAGAAACTGCAAGACATACCTCGCAACCAAGAAGAAGGAAGGTACGACCATTTCTTCTGAGGTGTATGTTATAGAAGTTAACATGTCTATATCTTCATCATGGGTACTAGATACTGGATGTGGGTCTCATATCTGTACTACCATGCAGGGACTGAAGCAGAGTAGACGGTTAGCTCGAGGCGAGATTGAACTCTGAGTCGGCAATGGTGCACCTGTTGCAGCTTTGGCAATCGGAACTTATAGTTTAGTCTTGCCTAGTGGTCTAATGTTGGAATTAAACGATTGCTTGTACGTTCCTGCAATTAGCAGAAACATTATTTCTGTTTCATGTCTTGATAAGAGTGGTTTCATCATTTCTATTAAAAACAAGTCCCTTTCTGTTTACAGAAAGAATGTTTTCTATGCTAATGCCAACATGACCAATGGGTTATATGTCCTTGACTTGGACATGCCTGTCTATAACATATCAGCCAAGAGGAACAAACTGAACGGTTTGAACCAAACATACCTATGGCATTGTAGGTTAGGTCATATAAACGAGAAACGCATATCCAAGCTACATCGGTCGGTAATGCTGGAGTCATTTGATCTTGAATCATATGACACATGCGAATCTTGTTTATTGGGTAAGATGACCAAATCTCCTTTCACCGGACATGGTGAAAGAGCTGGTGATCTTCTGGCACTCATTCATAGTGATGTGTGCGGGCCTTTCAATACAACTGCACGAGGTGGTTATTCATACTTCATCACTTTTACTGATGACCTCAGTAGATATGGCTATGTGTATCTCATGAAACACAAGTCAGAATCCTTTGAAATGTTCAAAGAATTCAGGAATGAAGTTGAAAAACAACTTGGCAAAAGTATTAAAACACTACGATCCGATCGAGGTGGAGAATACTTAAGTGGTGAGTTCGATGACTATCTTAGAGAGCATGGGATTTTATCCCAACT